CACATTGATGGGCGCCTCACCGGCCTCTATTCGCCTCTCCCCTCTCTGCCACCTCTCCCCTGTCCACCTGGACTCCTTAGGGCTCCAACAGGAAGCCGTTGCTGGAGCTAAGCAGTCCCCAGGAGAAAGAGTTGGCAAAACAGTTCAAAATGGATGTGACCGAGAAGGAGGCTCAGCAGAAGCACCTCACTGAGGACTAGGAGCATGGGCTTTCCAAGCAGAGGGGAAGACCTGCGGGAGTACAAGGCCAGGGGCCGGCGCCTGGAGGCTCAGTGGGCTGAGATGGTCAGCCAGTTCCAGGCCATGATGCAGCCCCACTGGAATGAGGCCCTCCAGCTCTTCGCCCCCCAGTGGCGCTTCCCTCCAGCCTTCGCCCAAATCCCCCCACCAGGAGGCCGAAGCAGACCCCAAGTTGGAATCTCTACCCCACTCCAACCCCCACAAAAAGACCCCGAAGGGGGAGACTCTCTGCAGCAGCACAAGCATACATTGGATGTCTCCATCCCAGGGGCTGTAATTTGAGGACCCCTGATTGAGTGCCAACATAAAAAAGGCAAATAATTGTTTCTGTGGACCACCAAAATTTTCTCACGGACCACCGCTTGGTGACCGCTGGGCTAGAACACTGGTGGTTTTTTTCACGGCTCTTGGAAAGCTTACTAAAGTTGGGTTGGTTGAAATATTTGGGAGAAAGAGCTTTGGAACCAAGACCAGCATGGAGAAGGTTGATCCCTGAAGTTCTGGAACTGACGTTCCAATGGTGTTGGGATCTTCTGAATGCTTCGTCCTCCAGACATTAGTCGATTCAACCCAGAGTAAGGGCTCTCGGGTCCAAAGTGAGTTTGGGCTGCCAGTTTTCAACGACCTTGGGAATGTCACTTTTCCCATTTTCCCATGTATTGGGTAGATTCCTGGATATCTGCAGGGCCATCAGATCTCCACCTTGAAGTCAAAGGTATCCGTGAGTCTCTGTGCTGATTCCAGGAAAAGTTGCCTCTTTATTTTTCGCGGGTTTGCTACTGACAACAATCCAGCTTTGATCTTACCTTCATCTCTCTACCTGTGGGTGTTGCTCACTTCCACGATCAGATAAACAAGGAACGTTTGGCTGGAGGCCAAGAAACTTGAAAGGAAGCACAGGAGGAATCGTTTTAGATTGTTTATGGTGGCACCATTATTTCAGCTCACAATGGCGATGTGACAGTTTGTGCTGAGTGAAGTCTTTTTTTTTTTCTTCTTTTAAACACCGGAAAAGAAAATTGTTGGAAGTCTAATGAAGTTTTATGAGTTCCCAACTTCCTGGGGACGCAGAGAGAATGGTATAAAAGCTCCTTCTGCTCTCTGTGCTGCCATCAGCTTCTGGTTGACTCTCCTGTCTTCACTACTTCTCTCCGAAGCAGGTAAGACGATCTACTCAGAGAGAATCCCTCCTGGTTGCGAGCAGATGAGGTAGATCTTCAAGCCGGAATCTGAGATTCTGCAAGGTTTGGATCTCATCAGAGGCTAGGATGCTTTTGAATGTTTCCACTTTCAGAACCAGCTTCTGGCACTGTATTTGAAGGAGTTGGAAGGCTTCATCTTGAGTTTCAGAAGATAGAGGTCAGGGTTTGGAGAGAAAGGGAGAAAAAGAGAGTGTCAAAGGGAGGGAGAGGGGGAGAAAGAGGAAGAATGGGAAAGAGAGAAAGGAACAGAAACAATCTACTCTTTTTGAGATAGCTGAGATAGATCTTCAAGTCAGAACCTAAGGCTCTTCAAAGTATGGACCTCATCATAGGCTAGTATGCTTCTGCTTTGAGAACCAGCTTCTGGTGTTCTATTTGAAGGAGTAGGAAAGCTTGCTTGAGGTGGAGTAGGTTGAAGGACGAGACGGGAGGTGGAATGGGGGAAACATGAATGGAATGCAATTCTGATGACGTCTCTCCATTTTTTTTTAATACTAGACTCATTTTACAACTCAACACAATGGCCTTCTGTGGACCTGCTTGTGCTGTGCCTTCCTGTGCCTCTGCCCCAGTTGTTGGCTTTGGATCAGGGGGTTCCAGAGGTCTCGGTTGGGGTCTGGGCTCCGGTCTGGGCTTGGGCTACGGCTTGGGCTATGGCTACGGCTTGGGCTACGGCTACGGTCGTGGTGGATGGGCTGAATCTTCCCGAAGCCTGGGCACCCTGGCTGGAGTCATCCCCTCCTGCATCAACCAGATCCCAGCATCCGAGGTCACCATCCAGCCTCCTTCTTCTGTGATCACCATCCCTGGCCCCATCCTCTCCGCCAGCTGCGAACCCGTCGCCGTCGGAGGCAACACCCCATGTGCCATCGGTGGCTCCGGTCTGAGAGGCGGCTGGGGCCATGACGGCTGGGGCTATGGCGGCTGGGGCTATGGCGGTCTTGGCTTCAAGGGTTACGGTGGTCTTCTGGGAAGAAGGTACCCATGGAACCGCAGAGGAAGCATCTGCCTGAGCCGTCGTGGTAGCATCTGCCTGTAGACGGATGACATTGGCCCAGAAGACCCCCCACTCCTGATGTTACGACGGTGTAGGACTCACTCCTCTTGTTGGTTTTTCCCCACCTTTGCTTTAAAATGCTCAGGTTCCCATCCTCTGTGCATACATCTATGTTATATATAAAACATATCTTCACCCGCTTGTCTTGCATGTCTTTTCATGGCGCTTCTCTCTGTTTTTTCCAATAAAATGAAATGTGCTTGAATTGAACCCATGTCTCTGTCTTGCTTCGATCTCCATCCTCTGTAGCACGGGTGGCAGGGAATTAAATCCACATGGATCCTTGCCTTCAAGGCCATGTCTGCCTTCAGACAACCCCAAGACCTTAAGAGCTCAAATGAACAAGTCAAGGGCCTTCTTAATCCAACAATTGGTTTCTGCCAGAGGTCAACTTTATGGTTCTTGCAAATTGATGTCACAGAGTGTGGAAGATAGACTAATGGAGTTGGAAGGGACCTTGGAGGTCTTCTAGTCCAGCCTCCTGCTTGAGCAGGAGACCCTTTATCATTTCAGCCAAATGGTTCTTCGGTCTGTTGTTGAAAGCCTCCAGTGATGCAGCCCCCACAACTCTCTTCTTTTCTTTTGATCTCCATCCTTGAATTAAATCCCCATGAGGACATGGATCCTTGTCTTCAAAGCCAGGTCTGCCTTCAGACAGTCCAAAGAACTTAAGAAGAGCTCAGATGAACCAAGTCAAGGACCTTCTTAATCCAACTGTCTGACTTAATCCAACTCTCTTAATCCAACCAGGCCTGACACCAACAGTTGATTTCTGCCAGAGGTCAACCTCTGGTGCTTGCAAATTGGTGTCATAGAGTATAGAATAGAAGATAGAAGATAGACTAATGTCTGATTTCAGACAACCCAAAGACATTAAGAGCTCAAATGAACAGGTCAAGGGCCTTCTTAATCCAACAATTGGTTTCCGCCAGAGGTCAACTTTATGGTTCTTGCAAATTGATGTCATAGAGTGTAGAAGAAAGACTAATAGAATTGGAAAGGACCTTGGAGTTCTTCTAGTCCAACCCCCTACTTGAGCAGGAGACCCTGGCTCTTCAATCTATTGTTGGAAGCCTCCAGTGATGGAGCAGCCACAACTTCTGAAGTCAAGCTGTTCCATTGGTTGTCTATGGAGATTCTTAGAGTGCTGAAGAAGCTTCTTGGATGAGAAGAGAAATTTCTTCAAAGAAAAACCGGAAGGCCCAGTTGCTTCTTGAAAAAGCACTTTGGCTTCCATTGAAAGCCTTTTAGGAAATTTCTCCTTAGTTCTAGCTTGCTTCTCTCCTAACTTCTCTCTTTCATGGTTAGTTTCCATCCATTGTTAGTTTCCATCCAATGTTCCTGCAGGCATGTCCCTTTCAGGCCATCACCATTCCCCATCCCTGAAAGGAACAATGAACTATCAAGTCTAATAACTCATGGTAGCCTTCTCCTTCATGGTGGTTCCTTAAACCTGACATTAATATTTCCAGACTCAAGTATTTATTTGCGAGATATACCCTACAAATGAGGGACGTGGTGGCTCAGGGGCTAAGACGCTGAGCTTGTCGGTCATAAAGGTCGGCAGTTCAGCAGTTTGAATCCCTAGCACTGCCTAACGGAGTGAGCTCCCATGACTTATCCCAGCTTCTGCCACCCTAGCAGTTCAAAAGCACGTAAAAAAATGTGAGTAGAAAAATAGGAGCCACCTTTGGTGGGAAGGGAACAGCGTTCCATGCGCCTTCGGCGTTGAGTCATGCTAGCCACATGA